CTATGGTTTATGCGGTTGAATTTGTTCTATAGAGAATGCCTGTAGTTTGTTTGCGAACAAATTTACACCACAGTTTATCCATTAGAAAAGCTTGTGCTTACTTAGCTAACAAAAAACATACTTACATGCTTAATTGTGTTTATATAGTTGTTTCATTTGTGTATACAGGTGTTCACACTTTTTGCACGAAGGCCTCCAGTACACTACAACCACTATACATAGAAATGTGTAAAACTGTTTGTTTCGGACTTACTTAGCCATTTAAGAATACTTAAACACTGTTTACTAGATAAAAAAGGGATCTTTGTTATATGTATATTACCCTGAAAACACAGCATGATTTGTTCAGCATGTTATAGATGCTGTATGCTCCTTCTGCTATCTGTGGGCTCTATTATACCAATTCTGTAATGGTCTTAAGTTCAGTCATTAAATTAACTTCGGGAGACAATACCATTATAAGATTGCATTACTTACCATTTTCAGGAACATTCAGAAGACTTTGAGATGTTGTCCTTTTGGCTTTCCAATACATTTTATTTCCTTAACTGTTTGAAGCAGTACAGCGGGGAAGAGGTAGGAATGGTTTCATCAAATAATTCTATTACTTTACTTGTGACAGACTTCAACTGGAATTAAAAATAGCGACAGATAATAGATAATTATTCACCAGCTCACCACTGTTCTTTCCAAATATTTAGATACCCATATTGCTCTGCAGTGGTGTTATATGTCTCATACAAATAATAAGACAGTATACAACTAACAGGTGAAGTGAAATCAAGGAAACATTAAAGTGCTAAAGTAGGTTAAAGACATGATGTGGAGACTGCTACGTAATTTGAACTCTTCTACGGGAGTTTCGTGTGAGGTGGACTTCAGATGTCCAGCTACATATACATATAAAAACCAGTTTTACTATTTTTAAATTGTGACCATTCAAACACCTACTGCTACGAATATGAGATTACAGAAGAAAACTTCAGGAAAGGAGCAAAGCAATAAAATACCCAATTTTTTTCACTTATTTCACTTGCTTGTTTAAGTTAAGTTTTATCCTGAAGTACAAAATTCTTTTAAATTGCAAACTTTTACTTTATTTTATAGCTAGATTTTATAAACTTCGGTATACTGAGCTGAAATCGCATAGGTACATAAGAATATAGTCTTCAGGATTAAAGCAGAGGTACTGTAAAGCCTTGGAATCACAGTAACTGTGTACTGTCTAAACAACAATACTCCCTCTTGTGGTCATATCGATAACAGCTAAAGAGCAGCGGAGAATTGAAAACATTTAAACTCAATTAATAACAGTCTTTTACAATTTACTTGCAACAGTAGGGAACGGTCTGAATCCAGAATTTAGAGTTTTAATCTATGTTTGTAATGAACACTCAAGACTTCACACAAGTTAGGATTCAGTCTAGGCCTTTGGAGTCAGAACTTTCCTGATGAAAAGTCCAGAAATGAGATTCCTTTGCAGCAATAAACTGTAATTTATTTCTTTTTTTGCCAACATAGTTTAGAAACTGCATTTTGTCTTCTTTTTTGGGGGGGAGGGGGGAGGTGTTAGCTTTCTGTTTAAGTGATCTAGGAGTTGCTCCAAAGTTCATCAAAATCTATGCATGTTTTTCTTTTGGCTTTAGCAGGCTTTAGGAACAGAGTAAACATCAACATAAACTGGAAAATAAGTATAAGAAGGCCAGAACTGGAAGCATCCATTGAAGTTAGCTGTAGCTTTGACTCATTCTGAGACTGTGTTCAGACAGAGATGGAATGAGTTACTCTAATACATACATTAGATTATAGTAGCAATTTATGATTATAATGTTATGTGATTTCTAATCATTATATTTACAATTTCCTTGTAGGAATTTATGAAGTGTAACACTCCACGTCAGAATAAGAACTGTTTGAAGCACTTCGATCTCTCAGAATACAGACAAATTCTTAGTGATTTGGCCATTCGTATCTATCACCAATTCATTACTGTAATGGAGAACAACATTCAGCCCATGATCGGTAAGACAGCAGCAACCCAGACAGACTTAAATGTAGCTTGCAAGTATACAAATAAAGCTTATACATGGAGGTGGAGGATGGACAGACTTCTTCCTCCTGTTGATTTTTACATAAGTGTACCTGCATGTGTGTTTCTGCACATATAAATTCCACTGAATGATATATCTTCATAGGCTTTGGAAAGACTTTTTCCTCACAACATTTCCTGGTGTGGGATAATGCTTTGAAACTGATCAACATTCTACAAAAACAAAAGGCTTTTTGAAATTTGGTGCCCCGGAAGCCTTTGTCGGTGTCTTATTTTTCTTGTATCGTTTAACTTTTAAAATATCCTGAAAGTAGGTTTCGTTCAGTAATTAAGTTAATATAACCAAAAGCAGCCTTAGGAATGTTGGTCTTATCAGTTATTTTCTGTTGTCTTTCAGTACCAGGCATGCTGGAATATGAAAGTCTTCAGGGAATTTCTGGCTTGAAACCTACAGGGTTCCGTAAACGTTCTTCTAGTATAGACGACACAGATACCTACACAATGACCTCTATCCTGCAACAGCTCAGCTATTTTTATAGTACTATGTGCCAGAATGGCTTGGACTCTGAGCTTCTAAAGCAGGCAGTGAAGCAGCTTTTCTTTCTGATTGGCGCTATCACCCTCAATAGTCTCTTCCTCCGCAAGGACATGTGCTCTTGTAGAAAAGGAATGCAGATAAGGTAAAGCCAGTAGTTTCAACAAGCAGTTGCTTGAGAATGAAATTCTAACAGTTTTATGTAATGTCCTTTATTGCTAAGTCACTGGATATTCTGTAACCGTTCTACTGGAAGTAGCTAATTGTTTTTTACTCTTTTTGAAAAAGTAGATCTTTGCCTCTTAGGCTGAGCTTTCTGAACATAACATATTACAAGTTGTTCTTTCCATGGAAACCCTAATGGAGGAAAAGACAGAAAATTACAGTCTGGAGTTTAAAGTCAGACTTCTTTTAGGGTTTTTTTTTTTAGGGTTCTTTCCGTGGTAGTTCACTTGTGATGTGATGAATATTATTTTTAATTCTTTATTACTACAGTAAACAGGTGCAGTATCCCCTGGCTGGCAGACAGACAAAAGCTGACTTGCATTTTTCATGTTCTGTGATGAGAAAGGCAGTGAGACAGAGTCTTTGAGGGTTTAGATCAGGCATCATCTGTCTTGTTATGAGCATCAAGAGAATATGCTCCTAATGGTTTTGCATAAGACACAGTTCATTTGTTCTCCATTAGACAGTTTGCAGACTAAGGTGAAAGAAAATCAGTAAAATCTTGACCCATCTGGGACATTACTAGAAAAAGCTGCTTTAACCTTTAGGTCATCAGTTGTAAGCCCAGCCCTACTTTGTAATGTGCAAAAATTGTTCTAATTTCCTGCATAAACTCACTTGTAAATGATTATTTTAAAGACATGTAGTGCTACAGTATAACAGGCAATGCCTGTATATAGTAGTAATTTTCTGTGAACAACAGCTAAACTAATAACTTGCTTTCTATTATCCAACCTTTAAGAAATAAAAAAATAAAAAGGCTTGAAATATACAAAGGATTAAACTTACAGATGAATAAGCTATTATTTGTTTGATTTCTATGATCTACAGGTATGTTTTTTAACTTAAAATGTATGAATTTGAACGCTGCATTAGAGGAGCATTCCTTCTTTAGAAGTTTTTAAATGTAACTTGCTTGTTAGGGGGAACCTGACATTTCTGTTGTCCATTCATGGTTTAACCCAGATGTAATATCAGCTACTTGGAAGAATGGCTTAAGGACAAGAATCTTCAAAGCAGCAATGCCAAAGAAACTTTGGAACCTCTATCTCAAGCAGCCTGGCTCCTTCAGGTCAAAAAGATCACAGATGACGATGCCAAGGAAATATGTGAACACTGCACATCTCTTTCTACTGTGCAGGTAATGAACCATCTGTTTTCTTCCGGCAGCACCAGTTGCAGAATCTTAGCTATCTAAAATAATTGTTGCAAAGAGCTGTTGGCCTTTCATTTGGTAAAAATAGCATTCCTCAGCATTCCACATCACCGCTTATTAAACAGAGGTCTTTTTAACTCCTTGTTCCTGATTGTTAGCATTTTAACTGCTCTCGTGAATACTTGCCTGCTTTGTTCTATCCCATCTTTTTATTACAGACTGTATTTTCTTTACTTTGTCACACTTTTTTTTTGTTTCCCTTAATTGATTCAGCTTTTTCTACATCATCTTGATCCTGCTGACACCTCTGAAAATGAGTCATAGCAATCATTATATATATATAAAAACTCATTAGATGACCAGACAAAATTCTCTCTTCATTATAAAGTTCTCTCTTTATAATAAAATTCTTTGATGAAACTTCCTTTAAATGCTTGCTTCTTTTTTCTTCTCACTTTTTGTGACATACTGAAATAGTCTTTTGTAATTTGAACAGATAGTTAAGATTCTCAACTCATACACTCCGATAGACGATTTTGAGAAAAGAGTAACTCCATCATTTGTTCGTAAAGTCCAGGTAAGAGCTACAACTATTTTTTCTCATATTCAAGTTGCAGGATACTTCATACACACAGTTTTTGATGCTACATAGTTATATTTGACCTTTATATCATATTATTACTGAGTTGCTCAGCTTCTACACATTTGGAACTGATCAAAACAAGTCTCCTTAACATCATGTGAAAGCAAGTTTTGCAATGGGAAGCAAACAATGTACTATTTTTGCTTTGATACTTAATACAATATTTCTTACCCTTTCTGTTATAATTTCAGGCTATGCTAAACAATCGTGAGGAAGTTCCACAGTTGATGGTCGATACCAAATATCTCTTTCAAGTGACGTTTCCTTTCACCCCCTCTCCACATGCCTTGGAAATGATACAAGTCCCCAGCAGCTTCAAACTTGGCTTTCTCACAAGGGTTTAATAAAATCAGTGCGCTGGTATTTCCTCAGAGACTATATAAAGACAGGCAGACTTTCATGGTTCATTTCTCCAGCTGGTGGATAGTATGGCAGCTTGCAGTGAACGAAACCATTAAAAACTTGTTCTTGAGTCAAGACTTAAAAAGTAGGAGTAATTTCAGCTTGTGATTTCATTCTCTCTTTTCTTCCTCTTCTCCCTTCATCACAGTCTTGATGACTTTATATCATCAGCTGGACACAAAGCTAACCACACAGTTTTTTCAGCCCAAACCTGACAAGAAAAGCATTTATCTGACAAGTTTGCATTGGTGCCCTGTCAGCACCAGTCAGAGGGGAAGACTGCCATGTGATAAATGTTATTACTTTACAATTTTCCTTGCCTTCACTTTGTGTAATAAGAGATTTTTTCCAACGTAATTCTGTTCATTGCCTTGATATATTTGATCTGTTTTACCATAGCTTTCACCCTTCTATACTTTATTCCTTTCATAAAAGAAGTCTTTTATAACGGTTCCTCCAGAAGACTGTAGTAGGAGGGAAGGGAAGGTCCCTCCATAATTGTTTAAAAAAAAAAAATAAATCAGTATAAATAGCTACATTGAAACTAGGGAACCAAGATCAGTCTAAGAAAATTGCTGTTACAAACCCACATTGTCTTTTTGTAGGCATGCTGGCTTGGCTCACTGAATGCTTGTGTTGCAGTTCAGGCCCACCAGGCAGCCCTTCAGCTAGGGGAAGGACTCAGGTGCTCTTTTTGAAGAGAGATTTCAGTTTTGTTCTATGTAGTGACAAGTCTGGATTTTCACATCAGTCGTTACAGTAGAAAAGTTAGATATAAAATTCATGTCACGATCCAGGTTTGAATTACAAGCTTGTTTCTCTAAAGAGCAGGAGTCATCTCCTCATTTGGGTCCATCTCTAGTGCAGTGTATTTCAGAATATACACTGAGTATGGACACATATGCACATCTTTCTCCTTTTCTTTTTTGCTGGTTCCCCTCTTCCAGTCCAGACATTGAGTAAGCTACTGTGGTCTGGTCTTACTGATAAAGGAAGCTTAATTCCTTACATTTCATCTTTATTTCATTTTAATTGCAGGATCCTTAGAAGCAGAAATTGTCCTCTTTTTTGCTTTGTTCAGCCTTCTCTCTCTAGTCAGAATGCAACAAACAGTAACTTTATTTAGTACTGGACCCTGTCAGAACAACTGGAGAAACCTCATCTTACTACAATGATGATTATACTTAGACATTCCTCAGTAAATAATGCTAGTTTTCTAGCTAATCTATTAGACCTAGTTATTAAAATTGAGTGCTAAAGCATTGAAATATTTAAGACATTCTAATTAATTTAGTTAATTAAAATATTACAGGAAGGAACAGTTGATTGGAATTTTTTTTTTATTACACAGTGTTAGTACTGGTTGTTTAATTTCACAGAAAACTCTGTAAATATAAAGAAGGAATCATTCTTGCTATTCAGTGTTCTTGGTGTTTACTATGTACAGTGAAATATTCATGGTGATATCCACAGACATCTATTCAAAATATATGAAGGAAAAAATCTGTGTTTGTTCAATAACAATAAAAGCTGTACAAAATATCACAGACATGTAGGTAGAGTAGTATTTTAATCTGTTAAATAAAGTAGCTTTTAAATCAATTTGTAGTGCTTTGCGTGATGCAATAGTTGTGTTTTCAGTATGGGATCATTTGAAAGAAGTTACTTGGAGCTATATGAACATTAGTGAATACTGTCAGTTTTGTATTGCACCATAAGCATTTATTTAATGCTCCGATTGCTCTGCTGTTACATCGTGTTGTCTTCCTGTCAGAATGGTGTGCTGTTCTTGGCTTCTCATGAATTTCTGTAAATATTTTAATGCAATCAAGTTTTGTTGCTGTAATTTGTATATAGCCTTTTTTTTACAGTTATTGGAGCTGTACATCTGTTACCTGGGACAGTATGAGTAAAACCACATTCCACTCTTAAATCTACGTCACAGAAGCATCAGAAGGCATGTATGTCTTTATATAAAAATCGCTGATCAAGGAAAATTGTTCTGACAATTTGATGCTAGGTTACTTTGAGAGGTTTGTGTGAAGTATGCTATTAACACTGTATACGCAGACAACAAAATATATTTTTTAGAAGAAATTTCAAACTGATCAATGCCTACTGTATGCTGTCAGAAAGTTATCTTGCTTTTGCTGATGTTAATGTCTTCAACCAGTGTGTAGGTAAAAAATTCTGTTTGTTATCTGTAATTCTTACAGATAATAAGGAGCAGTTTTAGTGAAGGCAGATACATGAAAGAGGTATTATGGAGGTTAACTTTCCTGGAATTATAGTAAAGGAGAAAGTTATTTCATTCAAATGGGAAAATGTTGAATCATGATCCTTACTGCAGTGGGAAAGCACTGAAATGGCTTATGGAGAGATGTGTAAGATGCTGTTGGCATCTTTGGATGTGTTTAGATATGTGACTCCTGCAGTTTCTGGGACTAGGGCTCAGCAGCATAGGTGGTCCCATTCAGTCCTGTGTTCCCATAATATTCCAATAAAAAAAGATTAGGACAGTTACTTCTACCCAAATCTCTGCTGGGCTGAGACCTATTTTTTCTTTTATTCACACCCCCCCCCCCATTTTGTCTCAGATCCTCTTGACTATCAAATGCAAACATCTAATGGCATGATTTCAGTGACTTCAGTAGAGTCTCAATAGTAGATTTGTCCTTCAGCACTTTTTTCAGATGTGTTTTCATAAATTTCCCCCAAATTTTTTAAGAGTCTAAAAAAGCAGCAATTTTTTATCTTATTGATTTTAAATTTGTTGTCTTAAAACAGGTGAATAGTAAAAGCATATCCAAGGAAGAACCAGCATGGACACTAGTCTATTTGTTTGACTTTTAAATTTCATAAGAATGAGAGATAGACTTAGCACTGATAGCGTTATTTCCAACTCAATAGTTGGAAAAATCAGTCATTCCGTCACCTCCCCAGTATGTTTAAACTTTAACATTTGGAAACCATCCAAAAATTGCTGCTACATGGAACAGGCAGGTAAGGTCTAGTTTACCTAATAGTTTATGTTCTTTATTCTATATTCTGGAAGAGGGCAGTTAAAATAAAGCCTTTAAACTATAATTGTCAGCACATAACTGTCCTGAGATGATACAACCAGAGAGGCTGAGCTTTAAATACCCTTTAAGTAGACTTAATAGGAAGGTTGCATTTCTACATTAGCAGTTGCACGCAGCTTACTTAGTCATCTTGAGAATCTCCAGGTTCTTGCTGCTTAAAAAGGTGGGTAATTTTGCATATTTATCGACAAGATTCACTGTACAGAATTTCTCTGTAAGTAGCATATTTCTTAATGTTTCACCATGCTACCAATTTTAAATTTCTACTATAACTTTAAAAACCTAGTACATTTAAAATTTCAGACTACAGCCAAAGAAGTTGTAATCTTTTTAGACCTTTTTAAATAGTTTGTATCGTTATAAAATAGTATACAAATCTGTCATTATCACAAACAATCTCAGGTACAATACTGCTTTTTAGTCACTCAGAAGTTTTGTTGGCTTCTCTTGTAGCAAAATTTTGTAATATGTCATAATCTCATCTGAAGTAAAATACTGATAGCAGGTATGATTCATCCTGTATGTTACTCCAGCAAATTCTCACACCTTATCAAAGATTAGTTCTGCTGAGAGTATTTATTCCAAGCCTAATAGATCCTTGTCTAAAGTTTCTAGATCTAGTAACGATATTTTGTTCAAATAAGATGTCATTTTTCCCTGTAATACCTTTGTTTTACATTTCTGAAGTGAAAGTTTTCCTCCCAAAGTCTAGTTGGCCTAGTGGTTTGAGGCTTCACACCAAGTATATAAATCTGTGATTCTGTTGCCCAAGTTGCCCTCAGTGGGAACCACAAATTCTAAGAACCTCAGAATAACAGGTTATTCAGTTGTAAATACCCAATTTTAAGAAGCTAATAAAACAGCCCTGGTGCTGTAGTCACTTTAAAGCTATGAGCAATACTGGCACAGAGAAGATCCCTGAAAGGATGGCAGCTTGTAGTCTCAGGGTCACTGTTTGCAAAAGAATGCATTGAAAACTTCAGGACATATTTGTTGCTTTTCACCCAATGGAGTATAAACCTCCTCAGTTGTGTGTAGCTGATTGAACACTCCGTGCAAATTTCAGATTAATGCACTGTAGTTCCTTTCAGGACAGATTGCTTCCCACATGTTTTGGGATGAAGTTTTGCATCTCCTGGAGACAACAGCAAAATTTTATTGACTTGAGTTTGGACAGGATTTCTGAGCTTATAATCTTATTTTTCAAGTAGTACACTGAAATACTTAAGAATAAACAGCAGAATGCAGGCAGGTGCATAGAATAAATTTTAGTTTGGTTTTCATACAATGTCCAGCCAAACAAATTCTAAAATCTGTGTAGCTCATTGAATTTCTTTTGTTCCGTTTAAATCTCTTGAAATAGCTTCTTCTAATTGTTAACCATAAACTCATAATTTATGTACATGTCTAAATAATGTTAAAAGCTTTCATTTTAGAAGTGGTGAAAGGTCCCGTTTTCCCTATGAAGAATGTATAGAGAAAAATGACACTACAGTATTATTCTTGTTTGTTTTTCTGACTCCCAAGTAGTTTTTAATTCTCTGTTGATGATAGTGCTTTGATCCTAGAGTTGCCTGGCTTGAGAACAAAAGTGGGTTCATAATGTGGTTGAAGCATCAATTTCTGCTAAAGCAGCACATTGTTCATAATATTTTTGTAGCTGCTGACTGAATTGTAGGTCATCTTCTCAGCTTTAAAAAATAATGCATAATATTGACTATTTAATAATGCAGTGGAAAAACAATAAATGCTGATCAGTGTAGATTTCTCACAAATCCAGCTGTTTTCAAAACATTTGTGGTTACTGTCTGCTGACAGTAGTTAAGTAAAAACTAAGAGTAATTTCCTGCAGATAGTGAATCCGTGCGCACAGTGCACTTTATAATGATGTGTTGTCAGTGCACATTATAACACAATATGTATTTTGCTTTGTATTTTTCTTCATAAAAATGCAATCTGCAGAGCATGTGACTGTCTTGCATATAGTGACAGTTCGTCAAGCTTGAGAGATTAGTCAGAGAGAGATTATCCAGCCTACAGATGTCTATATACAGTCTAAGCTGCATTAGCTGGCAGGGCAGTAGTGGGAAGCTTTGTGCTGGACTGGAATGCACTCTTGCCTTCTTCTCTGTCTCTTTCAGCGCTCTCGAACCACAAAGATGTGTGACCAGACCTTTTTAGCAATTGTATTTGGTCCATGTGACAAGTGCTCCAAAGAGAAGCCCCTTAGGGCTGTTTACATCAAATCAGAACAACTCAGCTACTGCTCGCTATGTGTGGAAATGGTACGTTATTGATTTTATCAGCCAGAATGTGGAAAGACTGTAAAAAACGGGGGTTGGTTGTATTAATGGGCTGTTATGTTGGATTTTTCTGGACAACAAATAAGCACTGTGTCATGGTTTAACCCCAGCTGGCAACTAAGCCCGAAACAGCCACTCTCTCACTCTCCCCACAGTGGGATGGAGGAGAGAATCGGAATGGTAAAAGTCAGAAAACTCGTGGGTTGACAGAAAGACAGTTAACAGGTAAAACAAAAGCCATGCACACAAGCAAAGCCAAAACAAGGAATTTGTTCACCATTTCCCATGGGCAGGCAGGTGTTTAGCCATCTCCAGGAAAGCAGGACTCCATCACCCGTAAAGGTTACTTGGGAAGACAAATGACATCCCTCTGAATGCTCCCCCCCCCCCTTCTTCTTCCCCCTGCTGAGCATGATGTCGTATGGTCTGGAATATCCCTTTGGTCAGTTGGGGTCAACTGTGCCGCCTCCCATATTCTTGTGCACCCCCAGCCTCCTCGCTGGTGGGGTGGTGTGAAGAGCAGAAAAGGCCTTGTCTCTGTGTAAGCACTGCTCAGCAATAGCTAAAACATCCTTGTGTTATCAGCACTGTTTTCAGCATAAATCCAAAGCATCCCCGATACCAGCTACTATGAAGAAAGTAACTCTATCCCAGCCAAAACCAGCACACATTGCTAGGCCTATAGGCTGCCAAACACACACCTTTGCAGACACCTGGTGTTTCCATGAGCCTGCAACAGAGGTGGCTCCAGGGTTCAAGGATACTTTTTACGATTCTTGATTAGAAAATGGCCATGAGCTTTTTCCCCTACGCTGCTGCACTTCTCAGCTGTGCAAATATTATGTACCTGTCTAAACTCTGTGGTTGTATGTGTGCAAGTCTGCTTGGCCTATGATCTTGAGTGTTTCACGTTATTTTTAACAGACCTTAACAAAAAAAATGAAACCATTGCAATAAACTCCTTCACTAGTGACTAGGTGATACGAAGTTCATCTAGTCTGTCTCAATAAAAACGAGACACAAGTGAAGTGCTGTCAGAACTTCTTCGTGGCCCACATTTCATGCTTGAGACCATGTTGTCTCATATGCTATGTGCAGTACGTGGGTGAGAGCTGGAAGTAGCTACGATGAGGATAAGGTGGGAAAAGGTTGCACTGCAGTGGAGTGTCTTCTGTGACCATGTGTGTGCATCACCACAGAGGTGGTAATGGGGGAGATGAGCAAACCTGCTAGCCTGACCAGCAGGTCCAACCAGGATACTTGCAGGAGGAAGGGATGATGTTGGAGGCTTTCTAAGCTCCAGCAATTACTGGTGAGGTGATACCCAATCTTCTGGTAGGGAGCACTGTTCTAGAGAGATCACGGTGGGGTGTTTTAGATGAAATACAAAGCTAAGGTCATGAACCTATGTGGCTACCAAAGAGCTGGTCTCCAAAACTCCTTTTGTAAACTTAAGAATTTTGTTGTCTTGATTATACTGCAACTTGGAGTAATTTTATTTTATCTTCCTGAAACATTGTGTATTATCAGTTGGAGAAGACATCTGTCACTGTTTCCTCCTTGGAACTGGTCTCTACCATGACTGAGTAGGGTCCAATTGTTTGTTGCATTTGAGTGTCAGATGAAATGATCTCCCCAGGAATGCGAAAAGATTTAACTAGCTGTGTTTACAAAACACTGCATTACAGGAAGATGAGAGCACTGATTTAGTGGTTATAAGTGGTGTGGCGTGTACAGTTCACTGGCTGATGCAGCACATTCTTACGTGTTACATTGTTTAGGAGGAAATTTAGATGTAATGACTGCAAGATAAAAGACAGACCCTTCCAGGTTTATTTGTTTCTCCTGACTCTGAAATTGCTGCTTTGTTCAGGTCCTTCTTGGCCCACAGCCTATAAATGGCTATTTATCCAGTAAATTTTTGCATGACTTGATAAATGTGTGCTGGAATTGCAGGAAACTGGCTGTTTGTTACTTGCAGTTCCTGCAACTTTCTCATTATTCGCATTATGGAAGTTAGGCTCCTACCAACTGAAACAGCTGCTAGGTGGAAGCAGATTGAGACATCAGGAAGAATTGCATCAGAACCTAACAGCCCGTTAGGCTTCCTGTTAGCACTGCAGTAGGATCTTGGGCTTTCTAGTAGATCTGGCTTTAGCTTGCTGCTTCATATTAATTCTGTAAAAGATTTAAAAACAAATATTCAGAACACAGAGAGCTCTTTGCACTAGCGCTGAAATACATATGGCTAGGGAAATTGTATCCTTTCCTCTTTTGAATTGATTTTTCAGAACTGTGGGTATGCTTTGGCTTCTATCAAAATGCACAATATCTCCTTGCCACACTTGCACATGTGTTTGTGGATTCGTGTGCATAATCTGGTGTATAGTTGGCTGATCCTTGTGCAACTTCCTGATTTGCACATGTAACTCTTAATTTCAGTGCAGCAGATGCACACATGCATTTTTATCAGCCAGTCTTTGTGATTTCCCCCAAACCAACACATACTGATGGATAACAGAATTAGAAATTGCTGACTCCCAGTGTTGAGATTGTCCTACTTCAGTTGTTTGCCTTTTAGACAAAATAATCTTTCCCTCTGGGGTTTTGCCTGCTTTGGAGATCGGTGCTGGTCGGTAGAGACTCAATCAGTGTTTGCTGGTTCAGTCTCCCCACAAAAGCATTAGTAAATCAGCTTAGAATTTAAAAAGAGATCAGCTGGTGAATTAGTGAGAGTGAAAACTTATTTTAAAGTCCTAACTTTTGAGATAGGCAACAATTTGTGACACGCTGTTAGACCCTCCATTTTCCCCAGTATCCTTATTAACAGAACAATACCAGTTTTCTTCCATGCATCCCCATCACCACAATCTGGTGTATTTGCCATGTGTGGAAGGCGGGTTTAGGATTGTAATAATGACTGGTTTTGCCACAGTTCTTGGTGATCAATATTTCTGTAGTGGCTCCATACAATAATGCCCTATAGAAAGCTGACTACTCCCAGAGTGGTTACCTCAAAGTAGCCTCAAAATATATGAAGCCAAGGGTCAACTTGCCTTTGCTCCATCGGGAAGAGTCAGAGAAAAAAGCTGTCTTATAAGAAGCCATCCTTGTTTTGGGCAACTTGGAAGCTCACTGCTGCCGAGGACATAGCAGCCAGTTTGGAAGCGGTCAGCTTTCTACGGAATGCTGGTGGTCACAGCAACAAATACTTTTAAGTGCCAGTCATTACTGCACAATTAATGAATCATAACATTACGAAGTGGAGTTCAGTTACTTGCTTTTCCATATATTCTGCATACCATACCTCCTGTGCAGGATGTTTTCACAGCCTTTTATCCTCTGCCAATGTGTTTTGAAACTCATCTGAAAGAAGAGACCAGACTAAGAGGACCTATACTTTATCCATCACTGCTGACTGAACTGCCATTTCAGATTAAACATGCCTTCAGCATAGTGAATTCTAGTACTGTGTTAACAAATTATTTTAACAAAGCAATTGCTAATACATTGTTAAAAGTATATTGCCTTCAGTATAGTTAGATTTTATGAAAAGGGAGAAACAAAAAGCCTTGACTGTTTATTAAATGGTAAAATTTTTCTTTTTTAGTTGACCTAGTACTGTGTTATCCTCTAAATTAATCCAACCCTCATTCATTTTATTTAAAGCTCCCAAATGGCCTTAACCTAACCTGGTTTTTTTGAACGGTTAGCTACCGACTATATGGGTAGTTATGTAGCTTGGGTCAGACAAGCCAAATACTACTATTTTTTTTTTTTTAATGCAAGTTAATGAAATGCACATTATGTATCGCACACTTCTATAGCTCACTCTGTTTGGCAGAGGCTTCTCTTTCACCTCACGGCTCTGCTTCTCCACGTCATCTTGGGACTAATATGTATCAGTCTGAATATGTATGGTTCCCAAAGCCTCTCGCCTTCAGTGCTGTTCTCTGTAGACTTGTTAATCCTATTCCCCAAGGCAGTGAGACTGTTCACATCAGTAAGGCAAGAAAGTCAGGGTTTTTTACTGTCAGAATTGTGTCAACGATCTGACATAGAGGTGTTATCTAAGGCAAATTCCTTAGAGCTGATGTGTTCCTATCAAGGCAAAGAAATTTCCTATGTTCTTTGTTGGATTTAACTTCTGACCCCTTCACACTTACCAGGTGTCAGAAGTAGGACATTTGTTGTAGATTAAAATCCTTCAAAAATTAAGGTTTTTCAGAATCTGCTGCTGCTACTCCCCCAGCTGCATTATGGAGTTTAATATAAGTAGGTTTAATTTTTCAGACATGAAGATAACACACTAGAAGCTTCCTGTCACTTTCCTGCTAAAAGATGCTTTTTTTTGTTCTTTTCTATCACTTCAAAAATACTGAATTTTTCTTTTCTTGGCACTGTCAGTGTGCTGGAAGGCGTTTCCAATGTGCTCTTTACTCTGAGGGGCTTTGGAGGATGTTCATATATCCAGCAGTATGTGAACTGCATAGATTATAATACCTACTTTTTCTCTTGTGATACTGAATGTAACTGGATCAATTCAGTTCAGGGTTCAAAATCAAGTTCAGGGTTGCCTACATGGCTATCAGGCTGGTGGGGTTGGGTCGCACTAGTTTCTGTGGACAATGAGAAGACTGGAAACACATCCACTGTTTGACTCTCCAGCAAAGTAACCCGGCTCCTGCCTGCAGATCCACTGACTGAGAGACCTTGAGCACAGGGCCAGACCAGGGCCTGAATTCAGCCTCCGGAGTCTCAGCTCTGCCCGTGCATCCCGGTCAGACAGTGACACTGCTGCTAAGCCTAGTTGTGGGAAAGGACTTCTATTTTCTCTGGGACCCACACTGTGTCCAGGATGTGCCCAGAGTCTAAACAACAGCTGCAAACACGTATTTTCTTATCTCCTTCTCCAATCTTGGCACATCTCCAGGTTGAACAATAGCCATTGGATTGTCTATTTTCTGGCTAAAGGGAGACAA